TGCCTTCTTATCGTTTCAAAAAAAATTGGCCGCCATCTGCTCAATTTTTACTGTGACCGATTATCACAAGTTCTTTTTGCAAAATTTTGACTTAGTTTGCAACATCTGTGCATTTTGCCCAATTTTGTAGTTGTGATTTTGCTTTTATTTGCAATTTTTTTTCTCCGATGCATAAAGATTAGCGTAAATCTGGGTTTTTGGAGTTTCCTACTGTTGTCGGCTTTGCCTTTGCCTTTGACTTTCTATAGATGTTGTGAAGTTTTTTTTTTTTGTGTGTTTTGAATTGAATGAGATTTCAATTGATGTGTTAATGTTAGTTTAGATTAGTTTTTATTATTTGTCTTGACTCTTCACTCTGGGTTTCAATAAGAATAGAGCAACACTAGCAAGAATGTATAATTTTACGGCGTTTAATCGCGTTCTTGACATACTTCTAACTGGGAGTATGTCTATAACAAGAGCAAGTTAAACAAGACCCCTGACATGATCTTTAAAATGGTGTTTAAACAAGACCGAAGGCATCGCCGAAGGCTCCGCACACGGAGGCACCGGAGCAACCAGATCCTCCGCACTCGGAGGCTGGTGCCTCCACACACGGAGGTACTACGCCAGCTTCTACGTACGCGGAGGCTGTTATGCTCCGCATGTAGAGGCTTTCACCAGCCTCCTGTGCGGAGGCTGCCTCCGCTAATTCGGTTATTACTGAAAATTATCCGAAGAAAATCAAGTCCTGCCCTTTGAAAATGGAGAAAAGAAATGGAATTATGTTTTTCGCTAATATTTTTCTTTTGATTCATAGGAGAAGGTGAAGAGACTCTCCAGAATTCCCAAACCGCCTCTTCAATTCCATTTGGCATTCAAGAATTCTGGTATTCAGCTGCACCAAGAAAATTCTGGTATTCCAAATTGCCTCTCAGTTTCAATTCTATGCTTTTATTTCATTCTCTGCTAGATTTATGTGAGATTCAGTTTAGATGTGCTTCAATTTATTACGGATTGAAACAAGAGGAAAATGTAGGTTCTACTCATGGGACAAGTTCGACCATGAAGAAGGTGTCAACTGGGAGCTTGATGAAGAACTTTGTTCAAGGATTTCAGTTGGGGCCAAAGGCACTGAGAAAGCGTTGGGAAGGAAATATGGACGTAAAGGGTAGGGAAAGTCCCAGATTGGAGGTCAATAGGCACAACTTAAAGCCAGATGCTCGGGGTACTTCTGTGAGTTCTTTTCTTCTTGCATCTTTTATTTTTAACTTGAGAATTTTAAAAGTTAGTGCAATAGAAAATCGACGTCTCCACACGATCCTCCGACGTCTTCGCTCACAGAGGCACCGACCTCCGCACAATCCTCCGCATGCGGAGGTACGGTG